AAGCACGGACACCTCCCTGAGGCCTGCATATCAGTGTCGGACACGTTGTGGACATGTGTCCGACACTCTCCCTATGGTGTCCCCTTTTCTTTTTGAATTTTTTGTAGCCGAACACGTTTCGGACACCGCGGGGTACAAAACGCAATTTTTGAAACTTGTAAATGGGCCCAAACTATAAAAAACAAAAACCGAAAAGAAGAGAGAAGAGAAGAAAATCGAAGAAGAAGGAGAAGAGAAGAACATGATCGAAGAAGAAGAAGAAGAATGGAAGAACAGAAAAGAAGAATAAACATACCTTCCATGATAGTGAACAGCAGCCATCAGTCCTTTCTTTCTTCTCTTCTCTTCTCTTCTCCTCTTCTCCTTTTTCTTCTTCTTCTTCTTCGATTTTCTTCTCCGATCTCTCTCTCAATCTCTGTTTTTCGACATTTTTTCTTTATTCTTCTCTCTCTCTCTCTCTCTCTCCCCTCCCTCCCTCCCTCTTTTTTCAACTCTCTACCTTCGTTTTCAATTTTTTGGGGGCTGAATGTAACCTATGAAAGAGAGCTAGAACAAGAGAGAAAAATACGAAGAATAAAGAAAATTAATTTGGCACTATTTAATTTTACAGTTTGGCCCCATTTAATAAAGAAAATTAATTTGCTTTTGTTTCTCTCTATTTGATTATTTTTTTTCTTTATCATTTTTGGTTGAATGTAACCCACTTTTTAACAAATGATGGCTGGTAGCTAGGAATGACATGTTATGTATTGATGGAGTGCGATTTTTATGTTATTTGTGAATGATATATGATGTTAAATCAATAAAATAAAATAAAAATTATTATTATTTTAGTTTGTGTTATTTTGATTTTTTATTACCTTTCAATGATTTTTTTTTTAATTTTATGATATATAATAAATAAATTTAATTATATATATTGAGCGTGTCCCTAGCATGTCATGTCCCTTATTTTTTTAAAATTTACGTGTCCGTATCGTGTCTCATGTCCTGTGTCTATGCTTCTTAGATTCCAACACTCAAGCAAATTTCACAAATTTCATCTTTCTAGTCATTTAACAAAATGCTCATATGGCTATAATATGGAATAATATCTAACTACAAAATTATTTTGTCATTTTAACCCCAAGGGTCCAAATTACCAATTTACCCTTATACCTTTATAAATTGATTTCCTAAATGATAAATTCGACACAATTCCATTTTATCCCAAAGACCATTTTGCTCTCAATAGCTTCAAATGTATTAAATAATTCAACAAACTTATTTAATTAACATAAGGCATGAAAATATCATTAAAATACTCAAACTAGTAAAACTAGTAAGTAACCCCAAGTTGTAAAAATATGACCAAAATAACAAATCAACTATAAATCATGCCATCTTTTTAATTAAGCCTTATTATATCATTATCAAGCTAACTACACTATTTTTCCCAAATTTCATACAATTTAATATTTTATCATTTTCTCAAAGTTAGCTAATCAACATGATCTTTATACCAAAAATATTAAATACAACAAGGAATGCACTTTCAAACATTAGAAGATCAAAAGCCCTAATTCAATATTCTCTAATTTCTCAAATTCATGCAAAGTATAGCAATATGTATATCATTATTCATCTAATCTCACAAATAATATAATACATTTTTTAGGGTTTTGATACAAAAACAACATTCTAATTCAAGTGTATTTTTGGCATGAAATACCCAAGGCATGGTAATTTTTTCAAATAATCTCCAAAAACTAAATAGAGAGCATTTCATCGAAGACTTTTGAAACAAGAAGGATAGAATATGGAAACAATTTATAATCTTGAAATACACTCTCTAATCATGTTATATTATTCACCCAAAAAAATTTTATTCACCCAAAAAATCATGTTATATTATTCAAAAAAAAAAAAAAAAAACCAAACATGCATTTTAAAGAAATAACTTAGTCCCTACCTCTTAGAAGCTTTAGCAAATAATGCAAGAAATGAAGGTAGAAAGTGTTGTTCTTGCTCCAAACTCTCTAGGATCTTCAAGTGTTCTTCACAAATAACTTTAATCTCACCAAAGTTCACTTAAATCACTAACTAATCACTCTCAAGGCTCTTCAGTACAATAGGAAAGCCTTAAACCTTATTAACGAAGATCAAGGCATGCCACGGAAGCTCCAACAATGAAGTTTGGAGAAGAAGAAGAGAGAGAGAGAGAGAGAGATCTGAATTTTTGGGTCCAAATTCTATCAAAGTAAGGACAAAACAATCATAACCACCCATTATCAGCCATAATTGTCTCAGGTATATATGTATAATATATAAACAAACTTATCATAAATATTAAGGCATCTTTCTCAATCCATGTAAGGAAAAAAGTGATGTAAGTTTGTGTAAGAAAAGGCACCAAAAGAGATAAAAGTTGACATATGGAGAGAGAGAGAGAGAGGGAGAGAGAGAGAGAGAGGCGCGGAGAGAGAAAGAAAGGTTATCTTTTGTCATAAATAACTCCAACACATTCAAGTTTCCCCTAAAAAAATCCCAATTTTCGTGCGAAAATAATACAGTTGTGAACTATTTTTTGTACAATTAAATCTCCAATTTCTCATAATCATCTAAATAAATTAGAAAACATATAATTAATACAAAAATATTATATACCAACCAGATTGGGCCCCTATGCACACAAATCGAGATGTTCTGTGCACTAAAACTCTCAATTCGTCATAATGATTCTAAATTAGTAAAATAATTTGTATTAACATTGTAATATCATCATTGAGTCTAAAGAGTCTGTCTCTTGGGTCTCAGGTCAGCTCGGAAATTGGTGCACGCAAACTAAAACGACTAGTCACACAGAAAAAGTAACCGACGAAGGTTCAAGTCTGATGCCACATTCTAGCCTCATCAAGTGACATGTGGCCCAATCAATCATCTCCATGCACTACCCTCCAAAAGCAAACTATGCTAGACAAGGCAAGCACATGCAATGCCTTAGCTTTGGACTTCGACATTCAGGAACAAGTTGCTCTCCAGGCTGGTTGTAGTATCCCCAGCCTAATCGAGGATCCTCTGCTAGAACAATCTTCCCTCCATGCATGATCAGCGCTCTCATATCCTCTAGCGAAACACACCCTTTCATACTTGTCCCTCCAAGAAAATAAGGCACGCCCCTTCATATTTGTCCCTCCAAGATAATAAGGCGAACTCATGTTCTAGCTAAGTATGCCCCCTCCATGACTTTCACTCGGTATCATCTTGACTCATTCAAGTGGTTTCCTTTGGTTTCCTATGCACTTGGTTTCCCAAAAAATGAAACTGATGTTACTCCATGCTAACCTAGGCCAAGAGTAAGGCTTAAAAAACCCCTCGGGGTTGGTGCTTAGCCATGGGACACACGAGCGACCCATGGCCTCACTCTAGATTACTATTAGTAGAGAATTTTTGGTTTGAAGGCTACAGTTCAGAGGTGGTCAACGTGACTCGCCAGAGTCGCCACCACCTCTCTTAAGAGGACTTTTACCCTACGTTACATGGAATCGGATGCAGATATCAAGTGCGGGTGCATATATAGGAGTTGGACTCTTCAAAACTAAAAATTGAGAATACGTGGACATAGATTCAAATTTGGATATGGATACAAGGATACGTTAAATAATTATTTTTTAAATATTTGTATTATATGAAGATGAGGTAAATAGTTATTTTTTAAATATATTTATTATTTTTTATCTTATGTATTATTTTTATTGATAATATTTTTAATTTATCTATATAAATTTTTTATTTTTAATTGAAATATATATATTATAAATAAATATGATTTATAAATAGTTATTTTTATTGATATATGACATATATATTAATTAAATATCTTTTGAGAGAGAGAGAAAGAGAGAGAGAGAGAGAGAGAGAGAACAGATTATAAATCAGAGAGAAGAGAAGAGAAAAGAAAATAGAGAGAAGAGAAGAGAAAATAGCGAGAGAGAGAGAGAGAGAGAGCATATTATAAATCAGAGAGAAGAGAAGAGAAGAGAAAAGAAACTAGAGAGAAGAGAAGAGAAAACAGAGAGAGAGAGAAGATAGATCCAAGCTCGTCTACAGTGGTGTTTGTCGAAGACGAAGTTGAAGAGGCCACGCTCGTCTCTCTCTTTTGTTTTTTCTGCATTTAGGGCAAAATAGAGCCGTATCCATTTGTAAAGAGCTGTATCCCAGCCATATCCCGCACCCGTACCTGTGTCGTGTCGTGTCATGTCGACATGGTTACCTCCCAAGTTTTAGAGAGTCCATGTAACGTAGCTTGTACCTTGACCAATCTTAAAGAGAGATAGGCCTCAATAAAAGGCAAACTGTTGATCAAGATGTCATGCTCCAACAGGTGTATCATGCCTATCAACTGAAACTCATCAACACAATCCTTAAGGCTTAATATACCTATCCATTATCACCTATGATACAACCCTATGATCTGGCCATGGGAAACATTGAAATTGTTGAACCAAGGGATTGAAGCACCTGTCCCTTAGTGTCACTCTATTATCTCTGGCAACTCAGAAGGCTCACTGCCACTCTCCCCCCTCTGCCTGAGGTTGCCCGCACTGTCACCTCTCTTATGCCGTTTCAGTGCCTACCATCTTCCCAACAGCATCTCATCAACCATTTGTCCACAACATACAATAAGAAAAAAAAGATACCAAAAGGCACTTTAAAGTTTAAACATTAGCAACTACAGAATAGAAAACCCAAATTGGAATTACGTGATTGAAAGCTGCAAAAACAGGTTCAAGAAAGAATACAATGCAAAGAAAAATAACTAACACTAAAGATGAGGCATTTGTATGCTCAGAAGAATTTGATTTATGAGACATTTTTACGATATATTGATAAACATTTGGGCAAGTGTTCTAGGTTACTATAATGGCCAATTAAAGAAGCACAATAGCAAAAACAAACTAAGACATGAAAAACATCGTAGTAAGGTATTTTGTGTCTTGCATTACCCCTAGATATCCATGCATGAGAAGAATCAATGCTAGGAAGTGATGACTAAGGGAGAAATAAGTACAAACCTGTGTCCACAACTGTAGGAGTTTCCCCTGCAGTAAGAGTCTTAGATTCCTGAAAGGAAATCTTGCCAGGAATATCAATATCAAACAGGTGTATCTGCAATTACACAGGTCTATCAGAAACTTTATTGCCCAACCAACAAATGAGATGCAATCTTCTACCTATCCAAAAAAAAAAGAGATGCAATCTTCAAACAACACAAAGGAAATCTGAAATATTTTCTTGTAATTCAATACTAGATGTTCAAGACGTGTCATTAACTGTTTCAAAGTAGAATTGAGGCCCCAAATCGAAAGCAATATTTCTAAACTATGTATGTGATAGTTACAAACTGGAATGAGCCCTCCCAATGCAAAAGCTTATACGAGTAAACAGCCAATACCAATAATAAAAGTTGCACAATGTTGGGCAGCTTATTTGAAGATTCCAATTATAAAGGAAACAAGCAAGTGCGTGTGAAAAATCAAATGGCGTAACTTACCTGATCAGCCTAACTATCCCTAGGAAGGACACTGGGGCCAATTAATAAGTAGCCCCAGTTTCTGGTGGAGTTACGTGTTTTTAAAGGTTTGGCTCAAAAACAAAATCTTCTTTACGAGAATGACCATCTGTTCTATATGTGCACATAACGCACGAGAAAATAAACAAAGCATTACCTTCCTGTGTTTTGCTTTAAGCTTCCCATCAGTATCAAAAACACAGCATGTGTTGTACAACCTATCACCACATCGTTCTGGTATAGAGCCACCAACTATTGTGATCTTCAATAGAGAAGCAACTTCAGACAACATAGTTGTTGAAGGAGATGCATCACCGCCTGCATCAATGTCCTCAGCATAAACAGGGAAGCTATCATTTGAATAGGGACTATTCCATATTTCCTGACATAACAAAACACACATTCATGAATCAAAATCGCAAGCTTTGAGAAGACAACATCAACATTTTAAGTTTGAGGTATGACTCATATTCAGCCTCAATTCACATGCCTTCTTTTTATTAGATGATAGACTTTCTAGAGGTGGGCATACAGTATGCATATACAAATAGTTAGATCTAAGAAGTAGTTGGACCTAAGACTGACAAATTTAGGAAAGTTGGGGATATTTTGGGAAATAAAAAATTTGTGACAGTCAAAACCAACTTCAGCCATCACTTTATATTAGTACTAGCGATCATAAGAATATTTGCAAGAGAGATGCACACCTAGTATGTGTTGCCTAAGTGGTAAATATCTTATCTATTAAACCTATGATCCCAGTTTCGAGTCTCATTCTCCTCTTAATATAATTTTTACATAAGCACCAATTATAGGGGCATATTGGGAAAACCCAAAATGGGACATCAACACCATCATCCGGAGCCTTCACATATAGACAAACTAGTAATGCATGTGCAACTCAAAAAAACGTAATAGTATAACAATAATATTAAAAAGGGTAAATTACAAACACACCCCTGAGGTTTACTTAAATTACAAATTACCCTCTGTGATTCTAGAAATTACATTATGCTCCCTAAGATTTCTAATTTCATTAATAAATAATCAAGTTAATTAATAGTTTTTAATAATGTTAAAATTTTATTTCAATTAATAATTCAAATAATTTTATTATTGTATAGTTGAATAGTTAGAATTTTACTTTTTCAATTAATTCTGTTAAATAAAAAATTCTGATAGGGAGGTATTTATAATTTTCCAAACCACAGGAGGCGATTCGTATTTTAAGCAAATCTCATAGGGTAATATTTTAATTTACCCTAAAAAATATAGCGTCTAATTAGTACACATTAATGTGTGTTTGAAAGGGAAAAGATTGGGTATAAACTTAACTTTTAACATAGTACAGAAAGTGGTTGTCCCAAGACTTGAACTCATATCCTCAAGGTTATTAGGCTAAGGTTTCACCATTGAACCAATTATGATAAAGATAAATACACATCTAGTATTTGTTACTCAAGTGGTAAGGGTTTGCTTTGCCAAAGTCAGTGATCTTGATTTCAAGTCTTGTACTCTTCTCTTTTACATAAACATCGGATTTTGGAAAAACTCAAAATATGAGACACAAATGTGTCAACACCACCCAGAACCTTCACTTTATATATTAGAATAGATGGATAGATAGTGTTAACTGCCAAACTTTTTTCTTTTCCAAGAACGCGCTTCCGATTCCAAACTGCCCTTCTACACCTACTTACTTCTATTGAGTTACTTCAGATTTTGATTTAAATTTTGATAATTTCTTCAAATTTCAATTTTTTTTTCCTTCATAACGGGTTGATTTTCATAGCACACCGGTTGTGCACACCGTCGAGTCCCATATATAAGTGAGGTGTGCTATAATTTGTTAATATAATTTTGCAATCAGTCCAATTTAGATTTGAAGAAAGGGCTTTAAAGCCAATATTCATTCAAAGAAAATTAAGAGAGAGAGAGAGAAGTTACAGGCAAGACAACAAGTTGGGCACCCCTTTTTGCAGCGTCCTCAATGGCTTGACGAGCGTGAGCGATGTTCCTCTCCTTGTCGGCAGTGACTAACAATTGGCACAATCCAATCTTAAACTGAAACCCATGTAAGAAATTAAGTTTTATTCATCTAGCACTGAAAAAGATATACACACACATACCCAAATTGGGAAATAGAAAGAAAAAGAAGAGGAATTATTAAAGATGAGAGAGAGAGAGAGAGAGAGAGAGAGAGAGAGATGCCTTGGAGATAGGAGGGATGGGCAATTGGAAGGCAGGGGGGACTCTAGCTTGCTCAGGTTTGAAAGATGAAGCCATTGATGATGCAGAGAAGGAAGTGATTGGTGTATGTCCGGGGATCGGGAGACAAGGCCGACTGTGGAAGATGGATAGGTGGTGGTAGTGGTTGCACCGGAAGTGGAGTGGGGGGGTTGAGTAGGAATGACCCAGAAATTGAGGCTTCAAGGTGGAGGAAAAGCACAACGAGAAGTGGATTCCAAATCCGACTTTCATTTCATCAAATTTGCCTTTTTTTAAGAAATTTGGGGAAATTTATGATCTTGGCGTCACAAACGATTAGGTCAAATTGCACTAACGATAGTAAAAGTAATGTCATCTTTCAATTTTGAAAAATGCTTCACAACAATTTTATACAAAATTTTGCTAAAAAAATGATGTGCAAGTATTATTTATGAGTAAGGTTACAAATCTCAAAAACTCTACTCAATTTTTTATCAAATGTCTTATATAAGCGTGGGAACCACACCAATCTCATGTAAAAATTTTAATAGAGCTTTTGGATCTCTAATATTTTTTATTATTTATGTACTCAAATACATTTCAGGTTTCATTTGAAAATTGACTATTTCAATTAAATTTTTATTTTTTTACAAAAACATATGTAAAAAAATAAAGTGTTGTGATAATTTATAATGATTTTTTAAACTTTTTAACTAAAAATCATAGTCCCCAAATAGGGCCTTAATATGATTTTTGTTTGAAAGTGATAGGTTTAAAGGTGGTTACTATTCTTTAGGAGATTCCCAACCGAGCTTCGACAATGATTTGATTACCTCCTTCACACTTCTAGAATATAGGTCTATATTTTTAATGTGTAGATAAGGGGGTTTTATGTTAGGAATAGGCGTTTTGTGATATTTCATTCGTTTCCTACGTAGATTTATGGTTTACCACCAATGGTTTCTTTACTATTGTTGTAACGCCTCAAAAATTATCATCTTTTTCATAAACATTAGTTCAAAATAATTTGAACTAATGTTATCTCTTCATTTGAGTACAAAAGTTATCTCTTCCTCGTTGAATTATTCGAGTGATTACATCATTGTCAAGTATATTCATCGATAGAATAAATAGTCCAAAATGCAAGATATAATACCAAACATAATGCCCTACGGACTTACATATTTTCAAGAATTTTTCTTGAATACACAAAAGATGGGGTTCTATCTCCACACAAAAAATAGCCCCAAGGCCTCATTGCATTTATAGAGCCTCTGTGCTCCTATACAAAAATGCATCTCATGCCAATCACTTGGGTATCATCACAGCATCATCTCTTAAAAGGTTATTAGTTTTGGGGTGAGCAATTGCCCAAAAGGAAATATTATTAACAAGTTATATAATTAATCAAAAAACATATGATCATGTCATGCTAGAGATGAGGAAACCCAAGCATTTTCCTTTATCAAACCATGATGCGAAATGCTCTATGTCAACAACATATCATAACCAAACCATGGGGTGTAAATACACTATGACGTCCCGATACAAGAGCCGCGTACCATAAATATATATAAATATAGATTTATATATTGAAAGTAGTCTCCCCATTTGCTGACTCTCAAAATGACGGAGCGATGGGCACCCAAGACCTTTCCCTTTTCACATTTGCTAACTTTTGAAACGGCGAGCTCGTGGACCCCAAAAATCATGTTTTCCACATTCGCCAACACTATAAACAACACACTTGTGGACACCTTGAAATCTTTTCCACATTCGGCTAACGATATGCACAAGACATGGACATTGGACGCCTTGACTCCCCGCGTGGGTACTAATATACATTACACGACTCAAACCAAAGCTCGACTCACTACCTGAACTCATATGCTATTTACCCCCTTCCAACTCTTTCTATACATCAACTTTTAAGAGTTACAAGGTATAATTATAAATGTATATGATTCATGAATTTTCAAATCTCAATTTCCCTATGGTAATTTCGATTCACAACAATCCAATAATTTACACATCAACAATCAAGAGATTCTCTAATTCACAAACATCACCATCTCAGGGTTTTGTGTTAAAAAGTTTCAAAACCTCATATTTCAACATCGAAGTCAAGTCAATACACCAAATTTCAAGTTTCAGAGGCTAATTGAACAAAATCCCTTTTTATTGAACCAATTTGAAAACTAAACTTTTAGGAAAATTAGGGTTTTTCCCTCTTTCATGATGAAAAGGCCAATTCTTATCATCAACAACAATAATCATCAAAATGTACAAAAACTCTTCCAAAATCATGAGGTGTAGCCCCTTTTTCATCAAACCCATTTACTAACACAACATACACACACACACACACATATATATGTCTTAATATAATGAAAATACCACATATGTTTCTCAAATCAAATATATAACTAGTTAAAAGTACCCTAGCTCAAGAATGAAGACAAAAGATGAAAGCCCAACTTCGAAAATGGGTGTTAGAAAGAGATAGGGTGTAAAAAAGTGAGAGAAAATGATGTTTAGATTGACTTTTAAAACTATTGTCCCGAATAGATTACTCGAGTGAAGTTTCCATTGCTCGAGCAGTGAACGCAAGGTCTTAGAAGTTTTGTAGAGCTACTGTGAAAATACTAGGAGTCTCATTTCTACGCTCAAACGACCACTTAACCGCTCCAGCGGTCTTATAGCGGCTTGGGTTAGACCCGACCCTTTCATGTTCTTGGATCCGGGATTCGATACTCTTTATCGTTGTCTATACTTCTTCTTATCTTGTTGTTATTTGGGTTTGGTTGTGTTGTGAACATGTTGGGAGTTAGTGTTTCAAAAGAATTGTTGTTTGTTTCTTTTCTTGTTTGCTCAAGCGGTGTTTTGGTCGCACGGGCGGTCTTTGAGTTCTCTTAGTACTTTTGCAGGTCTACAAAACTATTAGGAGTAGAGTGATCTTCGCTCGAGCGTGTAACTTGCTTTTCGTGTTCCTCGGAGAGGTTTAGTCTCCTTAGATACGATAGCCCTACAGTTCAGACTCCCGTGGTTCTGAATATGGTTTCACAAATGTTATGTGAAACAAAAAAACACAAATGAGAGTCCAAATCTGACAAGTCTTTGGAAAAGCGATTTACAATTAGAAATGCCAAAAATGGACTACATTGTCAGATTTTAGAGTCATCACCTAAATATTTTTAGGAAATTTAGGAAATCTGTGACTTGTGCCAAAAGCCACTTGCCTGTTATCACCAAAGTGTTTCGGTTCGGGAACTTATGTATGAAAGGAGAAGGTCATGAGTTGAGCACTCCACTCACTCGGTCAAATATTGACCTCTACTAATCATGATGTGATTTTTATTTACATTATATGCTCTTATTTCGATTTATTAATGCTAACTTACTATGTGAGGCAGACAAGTATAGACTATTTCTCCTACTTTGGAATACTTTTAATTTTATTTTGTTTTGAAAAGAATTTTGAATATATACTACTTGAAAATGCGAGCTCATATTTACATTTAATCAAATCATCCCAATTTAGGTAAATTAGCCTTCATCTACCGGCATTCGAAAGGTATATCAAATAAGCACTTAGCCTCATAATAATATGCTTGACTTGACAACACAAACATACATGTAATATGCTAAAGCAAGAAATACTCACCTAATACTCCAAGGCAAGCCAAAGAAAATAAAATAATTAGAAAAATGCATGTTATAACACAAAGTGACTAATGCAACACATACAAAATGCAACTACGAGATTCGGTTTTTAACATTTCATATGAATCAATTCAAGGCATGCGGCAACGTACATATTCAAGTAAGTAGAAAATGACAACAATGTTAGAATGATGGAACCAAACTCGATGTATGCAAAAATGGATATTTACACATGGTAAATATATGAAGCCAAAATATGATACTACATGCAACCATTGTAAGCAAGTAAATAAAAGGGAGAAAGAATGAGGGTTGGAAGACATATACAATATTACAAGTGTGCCCTCATACAAGAGGGTCTGAATGTCCGAATTTAAACTAATTATTACACCACCGAATAAAGGAATAAGCTAAATTAACTAATTATTTCAAATTTTTGAATGAAGCTACTAATTACACACAACATATTACTATTAAAGCATTAATTTAAAGGATTACAGGAATCAAAGAGTCACACACGTGCGCGCGAATGAGAACGTCCTCTCGAAAACCTCTTTGTTTTGCTGCCAGAAATTGTTCTGCTTGCAGTCAGAAAATTAATATTTTTTTTTGCCTCAACTTCTGCTCTATTCTACCATGAAAATGACACTACTTGCACAAAATAGGGTGGCTAGCCGGCCTTGAAAAATAGTCGGCCGGATGGAAGGGTGGCCAGTCGGCCACCATTTTTTGGTACTGCCCTACTGCCACAGAAATGAAACAGAGCAAAAACAGAGTGTTTTTGGGAGGTGTTTATCCTTTATGCCTCTCCATATCATGAAACTGATCAATGGAGGGGTAGACTCGATTTGCAAACCATCAATTGACGTAAACTCGTCACGTGATGATCTATGAATCAATGGGACAAAGGCTCAATAAATGGAAATAAAAGACCAACAAAACCTCCTCTCTATCATGGAGTTACCTCAAGGGAAATGGTAGACATTGTTTCTCGAATCATTAGCATCACTAAAGAGTATGTAATGACTCGAGACGCAATAGGTTCAATATAACGTCCAATTGAACCCAAACCAATTTTATTATTCTTGTTACCACTTTTAGTCCAATTTTAACTTCTTTTACATTACCTTGTCATTCTTTATTCATTTTGTCCAAAAGTGATTTAATTACGTCTACCAATGAAGAGAAGTGTCAAACAAGAAGTTGCACTTAGCCTGAGAGAGATATAATGCCCTAGTAATGAACCTCTGAAGAGATTAAACCATTAAGTATAGAAGGTCTCTTTCTCATGCCTTGAACAACAATCAATTGTTTAAAAAAAAAAAAAACCAAAACCAAGAAAGGAGGGAGATTGCAGAGATGATTATTACAAGTGTGAGTATATGTATGAAAACTATGGAATAAAAAAAACTATCAACTCAAATAAATTGGTGTCTAAGGTCTAAACCACCAAATCTATGAGGACATACAACAATACAAGCATGATATTTAAAGCACAAAGTAAATGAACATCTAAAATAGTCCCAAAATTAAGAAAACCAATGCTGGAAATTAGTATGAAAAACTAGAAAAAATTAGACAAAAGTAGGAGAGAATAAAGCTAGTAAGCAAGCCAAGGGAAGGGTGGCTAACCCCTCTATTTTTGGACCTTAAAATCACATGTTTTAGCCTTTGAAAACTTTGAAAATCAGTAGCTAAAAGTTGAGAAA